CAGCAGCTTCCTGTTCATGGCAGGATTTTTGACCGTTTGGGTCTTCTTCTAGACCTCAGCAAAGCTGTGACATACCTGAATAACTTTTACTTATGCACAATAGTTTTGAAGTTTGATGATCTTAGAAATTCCAGTTGTTTAGAAATGGCTCAGAGAGACCTTTCCAGCTTGTGTAAATCTACACAAGTTCCTTGGACTTTCCCATTGTTCTGAGCATCGATCAATTCAACGGGTGATGTCGAGCAAATAATTTGTATGCTGTAAGTTAACAGGTCTTCACCTTGTCAAATTACCAGACAATGTACGACCTTCAGTACCCCTTTTAATAGACTTAAGTGTATTTAAATATTTGAGCCTGTACGTATGATTCTGACCTTTGATGGATTAGAAAAAAATCTAAACTAAAATCCAACTTTTAAGCCAAATTCTTGTTTTTAAATATTTAAAGGTGTATCCAACTAACACTTCAAAGAAAGTCAGCCAAAAATCCGTGACATTCGTGTCCATGATGACTGTACACAACGTTGTGTACAGTTCAGAGAAATAAAGTAAAGAAAAGAAAAAAACGAGATGTGTGATTTGCTGAACTTTGCTGATGTGAATTTCAGAATTTCTTTTGCGTTCGAACTTTTAGCTGAGAAGTATTATTCTAAAGGTGCAGGACATCAAAGAGATGTACTTTCAAATTGTCTCTCCTATTTTTGGAGTATCACGAAAAATAATCCGCTTTGGCTGTTGACACTGAAATGAGTGTGGGTGGTTCCTTGGCTCTGACATGTGAATATGGATTTGACTTTCGTTTCTGTTCACGCTTACCTTCTTGACTCACAACGAGCACATCAAACTGCATTAGTCTGCGTCTCTTGTGTAGTTGTGCATGCGTGACTCTGGAAATTACTAAGTGTATGTACTCAGACAGCTATAGTATTAAAGTTTAGATGCAAACTTTCAACAGAAACCAACCTGAGTGTCGTATATTTGCAGAGCAGCTTCGTGTTGCCTCTGTGGAGGAGGTGAGAAAGACAAATTTGAATAACTTGAGCAGTGAGAAATAAGCAACGTGGATAAATCGAGTTGCCCAAATGCAAACACAAATTAATCTTACAATATAATCAACCCCAGGCTTCAAATTACCTATGGGAGACAATATCATAAATACATTCTCCACAAACACTGTGACTGCCAGCTTTCCGCCTGACTGAAAAACCCATTATCATCTTTACCTTCTCGATGAAAAATAGAGCCCAGTGCCAATAGTTATGACTGGCCAGCATGTCAGTCACCTGGAATTAAACATTACAGATTTCAAATACTTTTCCCGGGGCTGTTTGGATATGTAATATAATTCAGTCGTCTATGGAACAGATTACTTGCATGCGATTAATCAAAAACAGAAAAGAACAAAGTCATCGTACCTCCCAGTCTTTCTCTCTACTTTCCATAAACTTCAAGCCTTTGTCCAACTCTGCCTTCATCTCACAAACGTGGGCTACAGAGTGGACTGACCAAGCATCGTCGGGAGTTAGAGCGAGCCCCTTCACAAGAGAGTTACGGGTTTGAAGCAAGAAGAAGCGATGAACGTGTTGATAAGTAACTAGATCCAAAATAACTGCATTCTAAACACTCAACATGATGTTTCCCAATCTTTTCAGTAGAGGTGGGAATCACCATACATCCCACGATACGACATTTTCACACATCTTAACACACGATACGATATTATTGCAATTTTTTAAAAATATTTTGCGATATTCAGATTCTGTACATAAAGGTAAACTTTATCAATATTCATTTTCTCTAATATCAAAGTCTCACA